AATTTTCTTCTTTAATGATGATTTTTATCAAACTTGTATATTTAAGTTCAGTAATTTTACTTAAATAACAATTAATAGGTAATTATCATTGCCATTTAAGTGAAATCACTGAACTTAAATATACAAGCTTGATAAAAATGATCATTCTAGAAGAAAATTTCAAATGGCACTTAGAGGCTTTTGCATCTGAACTCTTCGTATTTTACAGAAGTATCTATTTCAACAGAACAAGACTCTGAAGTGCAGTGTTTAGCCTCCATGTTCACAACAGTTTGGTATGCAATGCATAGTGATTCAGTCTGTTCTCCCATGAGGCCTGTAGATGAAGTCACGATAATTGACTGACCGAGCTCGAATCGTGCCGCAGTACAATGGCATAGCTATTCACAAATAACCTGAAAAAGTCCAACTCTATCTCGCTGATGCTAACAGTGAGGTCTCGTCGAGGGAATTTGAAGAGTCAGCATGTCTTTGGTGCTTGAACGGTAACACAGCAATAGATCTAGACAGTTGATGTTGTGAATTTTAATGCAGATGGGGACAGTGCACTGAGGTTGTTTTTATTTGCGGAGACGAGAGTTTAAAAGATTTCCGGATGACTGGATTAAACGGCTTACTGACACAAAAGTTTCTGTCCCAAAGGGCACCCTCGGACCTTGCAGTTGTCTTCGACGTGCCCATTTACACCTTTTCCTCCAAAAAATTAGTGTTCTGGTGTTGAGTTGGTGCTCAAATCTTTCTTCAAACTGGCTTGTGGTTTAATTGCCGCTTGGTTCTTAAAGGACAAGTTCGGTATTTTACACTTAAAGCCCTGTTTTAAGATTGTTTCTGATTAAAGGTGCAATGTGTAACAAAGTTGAGTATCTATTAACAGAAATGCAATATGACATCCATAACTATGTTTTCAGTGGTGTATAAAGAACTTACTTAATTAGCCGTAATGTTTTTATTACCTTAGAATGAGACATTAATAGCTCCATAACTGAGGGAATCCCCTTCTATGAAGGTCGCCATGTTGTGACGTCATATTCCTACCGTAGCCGAACGCGAACAAACAGCGCTACAGAACGCGTTTCATCACTACCTTGAAAGAGAAGTAGCGGAAAGCTGGAAGCTAGCCTTACACTCCGTGAGTAGTGACTTTTCCCTAGTGAGTGGTGTAAAATATGTAGTTGGCATTGTTTCATGTAACTTAGTTCTCCCTCGCTGTGTTATCGGTTTGTTATGTTGGGGATAGATGTGCTGTTACGTTCGTGAGACAGCTGATGATTAGTATTCATGTCATTGACCGTAAAACAGTACGTTACAGGAATCACTAACCCGTCGATAGAGACTTTTACTAAAGTCTTTTATCACTAAAGTCGATCGCGAAGAATTTTAAAAATCAGAGAAAAAAAGCCTATTGTGTGTAGTAAATAGTATCTATGGGATGCGAAGATGACATGATTGTAACAGCGCGCGCACTTCCGACTTTTGGACTGCGACGCGTCCCAGCTCAGCCACAGTAACAGCTCATATTAGCCAGCTAAACTATTACTACCCTGTTAGAAAAAATATATAGCTGCTCCCTCGCTGTATTATGGGTTTGCTACAGTATGTGTGGAGAAATGTGCTGCTGGTTACGTTTGTGAGACAATCAGCTGATTATTATTTTATTAAATTATATATTAAAACCCTTGATCCTCACCTGACTATGGCTTTGTAAACAGACAGTATTCATGATGTGGTTTATAATGGACTGTGGTACAGAGATACAGTGACAATGTTACACACTCTTGGCTTACTCTGGCTATTCTCTGCTGTCTCAGCCGACGAGATGTTTGTCCCGTTTTAGCAACCGTAGCTTCTTCGAAAGGGAGGGGTGAGCAGTGGGCTGAGCCCTTAGTGCAAACCTGGTGCAAACTCGCAACCGAACCACTAGATGTCGCTAAAAGTCACACATTGCTCCTTTAAATACAATGGTTAAAGGGATAGTTTACTTTGAAATTAATTTTTGATATGTTTTAGCTTACCTCAAGGGCATCCAAGATGTAGGTGTCTTTGTTTCCACAGTATTTTCAATTTTGACATTTTTCAGTCAAACCGTTGTTGTCTATCATTCTTACACTGGAGACTAAGGGGGTCCACCAAAAAGCATGCACAGAGAAGTCCAAATTAAACATGATTTTAAATGACTCGTAAATGTAAGTACACATTGATGGCCTAAGACATGAAACGAGCGGTTTGTGTGAGAAAACGAACAGTATTTATATCGCTTTTACCTCTTGTAATCATAGCCATGACAAAATGATCTGACGGCACGGGCGCTTCGGTCTGCGCATGCGCCGGAAGTAATCGCTTGCGCGCCTACGTCACACTTTGTTTATACAGAAATTTCGGAAGTTTTACCTTTCACTAAACATATTTAGATATACGGGAAACCGCAATGGAAGACGATTTCGGTATATCTAAATATGTTTAGTAAAAGGTAAAACTTCCGAAATCTCTGTGTAAATATTGAGTGACGTCACACGCAAGCGATCACTTCCGGCGTAACATTGAACTGATTCAGTTCGGTTCAGTTGGACATTGCACAACTGATTCAGATCACTGTGATTACACGAGGTAAAAACGATATAAATACTGTTCGTTTTCTCATAAAAACCGCTTGTTTCGTGTCTTAGGCCATCAATGTGTACTTACATTTACGAGTCATTAAATCATGTTTAATTTGGACTTCTCTGTGCATGCTTTTTGGTCGACCCCCTTAGTCTCCAGTGTAGTGATAGACAACAACGGTTTGACTGAAAAATGTCAAAATTGAAAATACTGTGGAAACAAAGACACCTACATCTTGGATGCCCTTGAGGTAAGCTAAAACATATCAAAAATTAATTAAACAATCTTAACCATTCTATTTCATCAGAAACGATCTTAAAACAGGGCTTTAATGGTAAAATACTGAACTTGTCCTTTAAAGGTCCTATATGTAACTTTTTTTTATAAAACCAATCCTTTTTTAATTGCCTGTGTTTGAAGGGGTTGTAATCACACATTGCAATGATCCACTTTTCGGGTTTCGCTATTACCTCTGGTCAATATTGATATTTATATGTGAGGTCTCCGGGTCGAATTTCCTGCAAAATCCATCAGATGTGACGTGCATGTGCGCTCCCGAGCCTCTCTATCCTTACAGTCAACCTTGCGACCAACGGCACTTCAGCTGACGACATGGAGTCTGATAACACCCCAAAATGTCCTGCCTCCAGCTCAACACAGACTCCGTCACAAACTCCACAGAAATATAAATGACAAAAAAAAAAGTTTTATCTGCTCAAGCTCGTCAGGCAAAACGTGAATCTGATCGACTCCGGACAAAAACGCGGATCAACATAGTAAACTCTAGTGAAATAGCAAGGTAAACTACATGAAACAAGACGTGAATACAAAAGAATGTTCCAGGATAACAAAAAGTCGGTGCTTTAGGATGTAACTTATTTTATTTACTAGATCTACTGACTAACGTCACTCATCCACTACTATCACGTTCAGACACGTTCAGTACAGTTATGTCACTTCCTACGATCTTACTGATACACTGAAACTGTTCAGTTTAGTTCGCTAACTGTGTTCGTTATCATATTATACATTCACCTATGTTGACATTGCTGATTGTGAAAGATACACGAATAGTTAGTGAAATGGCTTATGCTATATAACATCACATGTCGGCTAAATGCAGTTTATTGTAACATTATCATGGACGAGCACAGAACATTAGTTCAACGTCAAGCTGATAAAAGTAGGCTATTATTGTAACTGCAGTGGGAGTTAGCATTAGTTTCCAGCATGTTGTGTGATGATTTCGCCGTTGCGTTGAAAGTCTCCATGTGGCCGGTAGTGAATGCTCGCTCTTGAGATCGAGCATGCACACAAGTACGAGCGCTCTTGTTGCATTCTGAAACATCACCACTAGAGGCAGCTAAAAAACGCATACAGCACCTTTTAAGTCAATGCAATTGAATGTTACAATTTTTAAAAATAAATATTATTAGGCATTTTTTATTAGGCATGCCTGTCTTTCATTATTCTCTAGCGTTAATTTTACAGTCAAAGTAATGTAAATAATATGTAATTATTATTATATACACACACTCATTAGGTAAACCTGTTTAACTGCTTGTTAGTGCAAATATCTAATCAGCCAATCACATGGCATCAACAATGCATTTAGACATGTAGACATGGTCAAGACGCACTGCAGTTCAAACTGAGCATCAGAATGGGTAAGAAAGGTGATTTAAAGGGGTGGTATAATGGCCCTTTTTACAACATGTAAAATAAGTCTCTGTTGTCCCCAGAGTGTGTATGTGAAGTTTTAGCTCAAAATACCACATACCATTATAATAATGTTTATACAGCATATTAAAAATGTCCCTTTTTGAGGGTCAGTAAAAACACGCTGTTTCGTGCGTGTCCCTTTAAATGCAAATGAGCTGCTGCTCCCGTCACAGAGGGTGGAGCTTCAGGAGCTTGTGTGTGTAATTTTATATTGTCACATTTCAGATTGTCCCTCTCTGCCGTTTACTCTAATCCTCTTGCTAAGTATGACTTCTTCCAATGCTCCGTAAGAAGCTCTCCGTGATGGTGTGTTATTATGGGATAGGACATTCCTCCATCTCTGCTGTGCATGAGTGCCCTCCAGTGTGCGAGACTCACTCGAGAGCGGCTCAGCAGGGTGCCAATGAAGACCATGTGTTGCATGGCAGATTTGCTTAAGTCTGCCTCGTAATTTTCTTTTTAATTTATCCGTAGCTTTGAGCGTAATTGAATTTGTGTAATGAAAAGTATCGTGTGACTGTTTAACATTGAGTTAAGATGGAAAAACACATGTTGTGGCACTGGTTTAATGTCTGTGTTACCGCGTGTGACAGTGAGAACCTGTTCTTTATAAAAAATGAGGTCAGAATAGATATTAACAAAGAACTGAACGCAATGTGTGTGTGTGTGTGTGTGTGTAGGAACATCCTTTACTGGGCCAACCATTTTTCATGCTTCATCCATGTCGCACTGAGGAGTTTATGAAACCTGCTCTGGATTTGGCACAGGCTGAAAACAAGTGAGTTTCTCTCTGCTGCAGCTTCAGTAGTCACAGATTCTGGGTTTACATTTACATTAATCACACGCTTTTTTTATTGAATATACACATTTTATCTGCACACGCATTCCTTGGGAATCAAACCTATGACCTTAGTGTTGCTAGTGTCGTGCTCTACTGTATTTGCTCTAGGAACTATGTGAGAAATTCAGTCAACAGCTTGTTGGATACCATTGAAAATATATTTTGACTGAGTATTACACTTCCAATGGAATCCTAGGCATTCAGACAGCATAATGAATAAATGTTTAAAATATAAAATAATTAAGCTTTGAAAATTTAAACATTTGACTTAAACATTACTTATATTAGTATGAAACTATGTGATGGAATCGTTTGCTAACCTTTTCTGTCTTGACCAACTACAAAAAAAAACCAGGTTAAAATCTGCATTTAATATAATATATATATATATATATATATATATATATATATATATATGAAGAGTTCAGATGCAAAAGCCTATAAGTGCCATTTGAAATTTTCTTCTAGAATGATCATTTTTATCAAACTTGTATTATTTAAGTTCAGTAATTTCACTTAAATGACAATTAATAGGTAATCCTCTTTGCCATTTAAGTGAAATTACTGAACTTAAATATACAAGCTTGATAAAAATGATCATTCTAGAAGAAAATTTCAAATGGCACTTAGAGGCTTTTGCATCTGAACTCTTCATATATGTATATATATATATATATATATATATTTGAATTATAATATTTGAATTATATATTTTTTAATACATTTCATTATCGTTAAATGTAATATTGAATTGTTTTAATGGAAATTTTAAAGTATTAATTAAATATAATATGAATTAATAATAATATTAATTAATAATAGAGGGTGTTTGTGAGCACTCTTTTAAACAAATAAAATGCGATATTTTTGTTGTTGTTTTAATTTTCTACTTGTTTTTTATTGAATAATATCCTTTGAGCCTCAGGAAACCAAGGTTATACATTTATGTACTTGCTTTAATAAAAAATGCAAGCTTTAAATGTCTGCTTAAATGTAAACCCTCCAGAATACTTGCCCCATAGACTTCTATTTTAAATGAGGAACAAATCAACATCAACATCTTTGGTAATGAAGAGCATGATTTTAATAAAAGTTTAATTTAATCTGGAAATGTTTTTTTTAACATTTTTAAATGGTGTTATATCATCTCACAGTGTTATATGTGTCTCATTTAGCTCTAAATGTTATGAGATCTGGCAGATCCATCGATTTAGACGTATCCATTCAATGTATGATTAGATGTAAACGTTTTTCAAATTGCAGCACTACAATGTGAATATCTCATCTGTTCTCAGGAGGGTGAACTATATCGTGACCTGGCTGAGTGTTGTGGGCCCCGTCGTCGGGCTGGACGTCCCATTGAGCTACTGCACTGAGGTGTCCGCTCCAGACTGAAGCTCCGCTGTTAGTGATCTTCCTGTCTGTCTCAGACTCCACTGACCCAGAGGACGTGAAGAGGACACCAGTGACCCTGCTGAGGGTCTCTAAGAGGGTTCAAAAGTCTTGAAACAATGCTTGAACATCCAAGACACCAAGTCTTTAAGAGCCTTCTTGAGCTAGCTTGTGAGCTTTATTCATTCATGCGTCACGGTTGGTCATGCGTCTTTGTTTTGTAAAAGAATGTAAATAATTTATTCATGAATTGTGCATTAGATTGTGACAGTAAATATATTTATGTTACAAAAGATTTCTATTTCAAATAAATGCTGTTCTTTCGAACTTCAAAATTCATCAAATAATCCCCCAAAATATATATCATGGTTTCCACAGAAATATTAGGCTCAACAATTAACATTGATAATAATGTTTCTTGAGCAGCGAATCTGCTTAGAATGATTTCTGAAGGATCATGAGACACGGATTACATTTTAAAATATCAAAACAGTTCATTTAAATGAATAATATTTCATTGTTTTACTGTATTTTGGATCAAATAAATGCAGCCTAAATGACTTACTGACTCCTAAGTTTTAAATGGTAGTGTATACAGAATGAATGGTTCTGTAATTCTTTTTGTATTATTACCAACCATAAAATGTCCATATTATATGACAGATGTAGTGGGGCCATGAGATGGCCCTGTGAGAGAGAGGTCTGTAATTTTCGAGAGGTCTACCTCTCTAATGAGAGAGGTCTGTAATTTTCATCATAGGTACACTTCAACTATGAGAGACAAAATGAGAGAAAAAAAAATCCAGGAAAATACATTGTAGGATTTTTTAAAGAATTTATTTGTAAATTATGGTGGAAAATAAGTATTTGGTCAATAACAAAAGTTCAACTCAATACTTTGTAACATAACCTTTGTTGGTAATGACAGAGGTCAAACGTTTCCTGTAAGTCTTCACCAGGTTTGCACACACTGTAGCTGGTATTTTGGCCCATTCCTTCATGCAGATCTCCTCTAGAGCAGTGATGTTTCGGGGCTGTCACTGGACAACACAGACTTTCAACTCCCTCCACAAATTTTAAATGGGGTTGAGGTCTGGAGACTGGCTAGGCCACTTCAGGACCTTGAAATGCTTTTTACGGAGCCACTCCTTCGTTGCCCGGGCAGTATGTATGGGATCATTGTCATGCTGGAAGATGCAGCCACGTTTCATTTTCAAGGCTCTCACTGATGGAAGGAGGTTTTGGCTTAAAATCTCACGATGGCCCTGTTTTTTCTTCCCTCCTGTCCCCTTTGCAGAAAAAACAGCCTCAAAGCTGTTGTATGATGTTTGCTCCCCCATGCTTCACAGTAGGTATGGTGTTCTTGGGACGCAACTCTGCATTCTTCGAGTTGAGTTTATACCAAAAAGTTCTATTTTGACCACGTGATATTCTCCCAATCCTCTTCTGGATCATCCATATGCTCTCTGGCAAACTTCAGACGGGCCTGGACCGGCCCTAGTGTGTTACTTGTGGTAGCCTTTGTTACTTTGGTCCCAGCTCTCTGCAGGTCATTCATCAGGTCCCTCCGTGTAGTTCTGGGATTTTTGCTCACAGTCCTCATGATCATTTTGACCCCACGGTATGAGATCTTGCGTGGAGGCCCAGATCGAGGGAGATTATCAGTGGTCTTGTGTGTCTTCCATTTTCTTACAATTGCTCCCACAGTTGATTTTTTCACACAAGCTGCTTGCCTATTGTAGATTCACTCTTCCCAGCCGGGTGCAGGTCTACAATTTTCTTCCTGGTGCCCTTTGACAGTTCTTTGGTCTTGGCCATGGTTGAGTTTGGAGTGTGACTGTTTGAGGCTGTGGACAGGTGTCTTTAATACAGATAACAGGTTCGAACAGGTGCCAATAATACAGGTAACGAGTGGAGGACCGAAGAGCTTCTTAAAGAAGTTGTCACAGGTCTGTGAGAGAAAGAAATCTTGCTGGTGTGTGGGTGACCAAATTATTTTCCACCATAATTTACAAATAAATTCTTTAAAAATCCTACAATGTGATTTCCTGGATTTTTTTTTTCTCATTTCTTCTCTCATAGTTGAAGTGTATCTATAATGAAAATTACAGACCTCTCTCATTATTCTAAGTAGGAGAACTTGCACAATCAGTGGCTGACTAAATACATTTTGGCCCCACTGTATCAAGCATGATCATGTATGTAGCAACCTTGATTCTGTAGTCTTTTACAGAACCTTTAAATTCTGGGATTTGTGCAGGATCTACATCATCTGGACTATCATTAAATTACAAGGCAAACCATATTTTCCTCTGCTGATATTTCTTTTTTTTTGCATTTTCATGGCATTGTTTGTGCTTTCATATGGAGGATTGCTATTCAAACATGTCTGAGTCTTTGTCTCCAGCTGCGTGTGCACACGTGTCTCAATATTTTCCCTCACTGGTTGGGTAATGTGAAGCAGGCTGCATTTAGCCTATTTTTGACATTTCTGAGGCCTGAAATTGGAATATAACATTATTCGTATAACCTTGCATCTTGTAAGCACAGTAAATAGCCTGATGTATTTTTGTTGTGTCTCCCTGCAGTCTGACATTTCTCTTCATTACTCATCCACGTAGCGTGCTGTGCCAGACCAGTTTAACAGTTGAATGGAATCGAATCCCTCTGAAATCCTGGCTTTCTGAAACGGAGGAGCTGAGTTTAGAGTCCAGAGTTTGAGAGAAGACGGTGAAAGTCCTCCGTCAGCATGTCTAAATGGGGCGCTCGTCTCTCAGGGGACTGTATCAGTGTTGGTAAGGAGGTCAGCCTCCTACCCGGAGCATCTCGCTCTAATGGACGGACAGGAATGATGGAGAGGAGAGAGAGAAATGCATAGATGGATCACAGTGTATGTTACCTGCTTAGGTCACCCCAAAATGAAAATCAATGACTGTCATGCTACAGAGTTCAAATCTTTTCAAATAAGCATATTTTAAATTGGCACTACACATTTGGTTTACAAGATGTAAGAAACAATGGTATTTGGTTTCATTTATGCTTTTAACTGTCTGATATGAAGCTATCATATGACTGTGACTGTCTGCTTTTATCCTAGCTAACAAACATATATGTTTTGCTAACGTTACCATTAAGTTATATGTTATTTTGAATGTTTTAATAAAAATATTTTTTTGTAATACAATGTTAGACAAAACATTAAGGTTTAAGTTTTAGGTTTAACTTTAAGTTTCAGAAAAATCCTTTTTTTTTTATGTTGTTTTGAGAACATTAAAGACCAGACAACTTTGAACAAACGGTCTGTTAAGAACTGGAAGAACCTGTGAATGACTTTAAGAGAACAAAGTTATGAGAACATTCCTTGTTAGCCGGGATGGTATAGGCCTACTGTCCCCTTTTTGAACAAACAGGCCTGGTTAATGTATGTTGAATGTGAACCTCTAAAATTCCTCCTTTACAGCATTACTTGCAAGAAAGAAAGAAGTTTGAAATGACATGAGCGTGAGTAAATGATAACATCTTTTAAACTATTCTGTTAAATTAATTCGGAGTAAATTTTGCCTTTTATTTTCTTCCTTCCGTTCTTTAAAAAACATAGGCTACGTTCCTTCATGAGGATGTTTTTTCCCCCTAAATGTCCAAGCTAAGTTATATGACCGTCAAGCTCCAAATGTGAAAAAAGGTATGATAAAAGACCATTTATGCGATTAATGTTAGGCTGTTAGTAAGAGGTGTGCCTCAAGTCTTCTAAAGTCGTGTTACAAAATAGTCATTATTCAGTTATATATCATGTCATGTTTGCATTCAATTCCAGACATTTTGTAGCTCAACTCTTTCATTGTATGAAAAAGTACAGCTTAGACATTCCGCAAAACATCGTTGTTTATTTTCCACAGAATGCTAATGACTATAGCTTGAATCAGCTAGCATGCTCAAGACAGAGCTAGCAGTTCAAACTGGATATTCCAGCAGGACAAATGATGACACAATTTTAATTTGTGGGTATATTATTCCAGTCACATTTATAATTGTGTGCAGAACGTCTAATTGAAGCAAGTAGCACATTGAGTAAGTTTTAGACAGACCTCAATATTATTATCTGGAGAAGTTGTTACATTAAAGAAAAGGAAATTAGAATTGCCTTTGAAACAAATGCCCATTTATTTTACATGCTTCACTAGAGGTGTTGCTTAATGGAGTTTGATCACTCCTAATGGAGATGGGGAATTAAATTTGTTAACTAAAATGCCACCGTGTAAACCAGCGTATGCCAGCGTAAACCGGCCGCTGCTGACCTCTGTTGGCCAGCGTGTGCTGTTGTAGTTTACACGCCTGTCCTCTAGGAGCCGCCATTGACCGAAAAGCAAGTGATTCAAAACTACAGAAACTCAAAAAGATTATCAAGCCACTGATGCCAAGCTTAAAAAAAGAAGATAAAAAAAATATTAGACTAATACCAAGTATCATTTGATATAGAGGAATATACCACTTTCTTACTTGTCAAGAACTATTGAGGAAATTAGTACTTACTTACTTTTCAAGCACTTTTCTCAAAAAGTTTTATTTCAGACCCTATACCTTTTTTTTATTGTTAAAAAAAATAACAATGTTTAATACAACGACATTCAGGCCTTCTTAAAAGTGAGTGATATATATATATATATATATATTACTACTGTAAAACTGCCTGGCTGTATTAATCATTATGTACCTCAGCTAAATTATGTATTTGTCAGATCTATCGTGTGTGCTGTAAAAATGCTGCTTTACATTTCTTCATTAAGTAGATTCATTTTATTTTATTTGAGCTTTCATTTAATGACTGGAAATTATTTTGAATTATAACAATAACACGCCTTGAAATACCCGACATATGAATATGATAATTAGACTACATATTAGTATACACTCACCTAAAGGATTATCAGGAACACCTGTTCAATTTCTCATTAATGCAATTATCTAATCAACCAATCACATTTGTTTGTTTCAGTGCATTTAGGGGTGTGGTCCTGGTCAAGACGATCTCCTGAACTCCAAACTGAATGTCAGAATGGGAAAGAAAGGTGATTTAAGCAATTTTGAGTGTGGCATTGATGTTGGTGCCAGACGGGCCGGTCTGAGTATTTCACAATCTGCTTAGTTACTGGGATTTTCACGCACAACCATTTAATAATCCTTTAGGTAAGTGTATTTTAAATACAATGGCATTATACCACTGCTGACCTGCTGCAATTCTTTTAGTAAGTGCAGATGTGAGTAAAATAATTTTATAAATCTATTTTCCTGACAGGTTTTACTGTATCTTTGGCCATGGTCACATTTTTTTTTTTTTTTTTCATTTCCCGAAGGTTGTTTTATCTGGCAGTGATATTCCAGACAAGGAAGACCCCTTTCCCATCCAATTAATCCAGACATTATCCTGGCTTCCAGCGCGATCCAGATAATGATAAAACCAAACAGAAGCCATTTTAGCATGTCTACACCAGACATCAGGGAAGTGGGTCAGATGTTCTTTGCAGAATCAAGCCATCAGGTTTTCTCTTACATTCTCCAACATGTTGTCAGGTATGAGAACGAGGTCATTTCATCTGTAATATGTTACCGTGAGAGTAAAAATTGTGCTTCTGCATTAATCATTGCCTTCCAAATGCTTAGAGTTGTGTTTTCCAAACCTCTGTAGAGCAGCAGAGTTTATTTATAATTAAATAAATCTTTAATTGGGGTTTTATTGAGACTGTACTACACTTCAGTCAATGCCTGGAGCATGAGTCTAGACATGTAAATGTATGACATATCTGATGTATTTACAACTATACAGTACATCATAACAAGACAGCATGAGGCATTGTTATAAAGTTAAGGCACTGCTGAGGTTGTAAATGTGTTTAAATCAGAAAATTAGCTGCATAAACACTGGACGCGCTCCAAACGATCTGCTCCGACTGATACGGCTTTTGTTTGTTTTCTCTCTTGCACACACGTACTCCTCTGAGACCTTAGTATACATAACCTTTGTGGAAAAAGCTACCTTTTTTGACTACGTCCTCTAAAAGACATCATTGTTTGCATGGTTTCACTGATGCCAACGTTGAATAAACGAAACCATATGGTTGCTTATTGCACCAATTATTATGTTAGGTCGTATTTAACCTCATCTGAAATTGAAGAGAGAGAATAAAATAACCATTTGATTAAAAAGATGCTTGATGTACCTCTATGGTGTCCCTAAAAAGCATTTGGACACTTAAGTGACACCTAAAAAATGTCATTGCGTCAGATCATTTGCATTTTTGCTCAATGACTTTTGATCAAATCAACTGTTGCAGTGATTTTTTTATAGGACGCACAAAGTCAGTAAAACAACAAGACATCCGTTTCTCGTTGGTTATTCTCAGTATCTAACAAACTCTGGCTCGCGTTGGAATCGTCACTGTGCTGGGTTTGTTGAGAAAAGGGCCTTTTGTTTCCTTCGGTATGAGGCTTTAATCATATTCTGGCTCTTTCTCGCCGACCGCCTGAAGAGTTTTGGACAGTGTCATTGTTGCAAGTTAAACAGTGTTTTCTGGGAAAGAACCAAAGATTTGTGAGCTCCAGGACCAGTAGATGTCCTCATATCCCACAGCACAAGCAAATGTCAAGGTAAATTTGACTCTGGTTTATAAGTCCACTCTTATAAATAATGTTATATGTAGTGCTTGCTAAGGTAAGTGTCACTCTTAGTCTTATACTTGAACAGAACCTTAAAAGTTTACAACTTGTTTTTTTTTTTTTTTTTTATTATTGGCATGTAACTTGTCCTGTACCATTTGTGTGCAATGATACTACAGATTGTGTGGCCATTTGAGGAAGGGTGTGCTACTTTTACTATTTTTGCCTGGCAGACAAAGAGATTTACTTTGAAAGAGGGAGCCAAGGCATGTTTAGAGACCTGAATATCATCTGAATATCAAGACTTGGTGAACACTTTTGATTTGGGCCTCTAAGTAACCAACTGACAACCACAGAACAGCATGCTACCGCACAGAATGCATTAGCATGTAAAATAACATGCTAAACAAATAATCACATATTAGTGACTACATCCTAAAACCACTTAGAACATGCTAAAACCGCCCAGAATGCCCTAGTTACTTAACAACATGCTAAACCACTCAGAATACTTAAACAACCGCAGAGCAACATTGTAGGCAAAAATCACTCAGAACATCCTAACAATATAACAACAGGCTAACACCAATCTGATGTTGTTTATAGGCTAGTCTGTTTTGAGTGGTTTTAGCACGTCATACTGCTACTAGTGTCCTGAGTGGTTTTGGCATGTTGCTATACAGTTTCTATGGTGTTAGAAGTGGTTTTAGCATGTTGTTATGCTGTTGCCAGAGTGTCCTTAGCGGTTTTAGCAGGTTGCTATACAGTTTATATAGTGTTATAAGTGGTTTTAGCATGTTGTTATGCTGTTGCTAGAGTGTCCTTAGCGGTTTTAGCAGGTTGCTATACAGTTTATATAGTGTTATAAGTGGTTTTAGCATGTTGTTATACCGTTTCTTTGCTGTTAGTAGTTTTAGCATGTTGTTATGCTGTTGCTAGAGTGTCCCGAGCGGTTTTAGCATGTTGCTATACATTTTCTATGGTGTTATGAGTGGTTTTGGCATGTTTTTAAGGCGTTTCTAGGGTGTTCTGGGTGGTTTAGCATGTTAAACAGTTTCTATGCTGTTATAATTGGTTTTAGCTTGTTATGCATTGCTAGAGTGTCCTGAGCGGTTTTAGCATGTTGCTATACAGTTTCTATGGTGTTATGAGTGGTTTTGGCATGTTTTTAAGGCGTTTCTAGGGTGTTCTGGGTGGTTTAGCATGTTAAACAGTTTCTATGCTGTTATAATTGGTTTTAGCTTGTTATGCTGTTGCTAGAGTGTCCTGAGCGGTTTTAGCATGTTGCTATACAGTTTCTATGGTGTTAGTGGTTTTAGCATGTTGTTACGCTGTTGCTAGAGTGTCCTGAGTTAGCATGTTGCTATACAGTTTCTATGGTGTTATGAGTGGTTTTGGCATGTTTTTAAGGCGTTTCTAGGGTGTTCTGGGTGGTTTAGCATGTTGCTAAACAGTTTCTATGCTGTTATAATTGGTTTTAGCTTGTTATGCATTGCTAGAGTGTCCTGAGCGGTTTTAGCATGTTGCTATACAGTTTCTATGGTGTTAGTGGTTTTAGCATGTTGTTATGCTGTTGCTAGAGTGTCCTGAGTTAGCATGTTGCTATACAGTCTATGGTGTTATGAGGGGTTTTGGCATGTTTTAAGCCTTTTTAAGGGTGTTCTGAGCAGTTTTAGCAGGATGTTATACAGTTTCTATGGTGTTATGAGGGGTTTTGGCATGTTGTTAAGCCGTTTCTAGGGTGTTCTGAGTGGTTATAGCATGTTGCTGAACAGTTTCTATGGTGTTATGAGTGGTTTTGGCATGTTGTTAAGCTGTTTCTATGGTGTTATAAGTGGTTTTAGCATGCTGTTATGCTTTTGCTAGTGAGTGGTTTTAGCATGTTATGTTGCTAGTGTACGTT